TTGCTATGTGATCTTGTTTTTTCTTGTTTATGTATTGATCGTTGGTGTGAGAATGAGAAAATAGTAAGTAGATGTGTGCATGTGTCGGTGCATAAGTGTCATGATCTTTATAAGGTAAAAATATGTTGGAAACTCTTTCAAAGTTACTGTAAATAACCGAGGTACGACGAGTCGGTACCGTAGGGCTTATGAGTGGTTTGATTCCACATAGATAGGCGGGTTCGTAAAATATGGGGTTTGTTGGCGCCATATTTCTGTTAGTGAAGATTGAGGAAATCCACCATACTTCGAAATTAAAATATTGGCAAAGATTTTTTTTCATGTTTATTTTGTAATTAACTAGAGTCCTATTCTTGTAATATTTTTATTAGGATTTAGATTTATTTCCATGTATCATATTATAGTTAGGTATCTTTTGTACTTATCTAGAATAGAAGTAGAAATCAACTAGGATTCTATTACGTAGTTAAATTGATTTCCTAGGGCTCATGTTAGGTTTAAGGTGGTGAATTTCGTGCCTATATAAGGCCATCAACCTCATATGAGTCCAATGGAGCTTTAATCGAAAAATCCCAGCATAAAGGCTTTGAAGGGTGCAACCGGTGTTGCATCCCTGTCTGCACGTCAGGTGTGGCAACAGGACGGAGTGTGCAAGTCAGGTGTGTAAACATGACGGGTTTCTTCTACCAGGCCATATAGAAGATCGGCGTTTCGAGAGAAGTGCTTAAAAGATCTCGTGAGAGGTCGATCCGCCGTCTGAAGGGAGTTCAGTATTGGAGAGAGTCCAAGAGTGCGGATGGAGGAATTGATTTGATTACAACAAGTTTGAGTCGTGTGCAAGAACGGCATATAACATAAATAGGGAGTCTTTAGTGTTTTTATTAAGTTCAATATTGTACACTTAAATCTGAACTAGTTTGCAAGCCCTCGTGGATGTAGGTATATTTGTATCCGAACCACATTAAATTCTACGTTCTTTTATTCTGCTTTTAGTAGATTAATTCTATGTACGCACAAGAATTCTGTTACCACACCTGATACGATCCACACAAGCTCAAAGATGAAGAATTGGAAGAAGCGCAAGCGTACGAGTTTGGAGAGGCTATTCGAGTTATCCTTGGAGAATAAAGGTTTGAATGAGACTGTTGAAGAGTTAATGGTTTGGAATTGGAAGAAAATAAAAAGGAAATTCGTTGGACAAGTCGAATCCCAAAAGTCCCGTATGATTCTGGCATTGTTTACGATTCAGCTTATAACTCTCTCATATGACGTCAAAATAAGGTGATTCAAATTGATGAGGAAACCTAACTGAAATTGCTACAACTTTCATGGTTTGAGCGGAGAGAGATTCAAAGTGAAACAATGTCGAAATCGAGCTTGAAGTTCCTGCACGTGCACAACCAAATGATTACGCGAGTTTACAAGGGTGATCGGGAAGTCGACTTGAAGATCAAGTTATCTAATTTATTTATGCACGTTTTAATATTAGGATTTAATATATTTTTATTATTTTAGAGTTCTTTATGGTTATGATTTGCTTATTTATAAGTTTCTTTATTATAGATTAGGTAGGAGTCTTTTTCCTTGTGAAAAAAGGAGTCTTTTTAGCACTTATAAATAGGTTACCAATTTGGCTTATTTTAATGGACGAATTTTTAATGAATACTTGAGTATTTTGAGAGTTAATTCTCGTTCGTAGTTCTACAGCAAATTTTGGGATTTTGCAAGTGGATTCTTGTAATTTTCTTAGCGATATAATATTAGTTTCTGGTTCTTTATAACCACGGGGTCAATATTCCACCTTGATAATAATGGTTTCTAGCTCTTCATAGCTATGGGGTCATTATTCCTTACTTCCACCACTTTGATTCCTTTGTTTTTGGGTGTTTTCGATCTTGTTTCCGCGTAAGGTATTTGGGTCTCGTAACGAGTTCTACGTGGTTCGTATCAGTTGGTAACCAGAGCCAACATCCAAAACGGGTTTCACCTATCTTTATTTTTTTGTTGTGTCTTCTAGTATATCTCATCTTTTCTTGAGTTGTGTTATTTAGAGTCTTCGTAAAAAAAAACACATATACAAAAATTCGAATTTTATTTTTTGTTTAGATTTCTTTCCAGCCAAGTTAGGGTTTGTTCGTGTCAAAAAAAAATTAGAAAAAAAAATTCGAATTTTGTTCTTCTTTAGAGTTCTTTCCAGCCCAAGTTAGGGTTTATTAGTGTCAAAAAAAAAAATTTGTTTTGATCATATCCGAGAAGGCCTGTTATAAAGGAGAAATAATTGAGCAGCGTAGGATGTCGCCAATGGATAAACGCTTCCAGAAACTCCAAGATCGGATGGAAGGAATTGTTGCCCAACTAAAGGAACTACGCAAAGATCAACATGTTCGAGGGCCATACGTACGACGTGATGTTCACCAACCAGTTATACCTTATCCAGATAAAGAGGTATCTCGTGATGGAAATTTTGGTGTGAACGCTACAAAATCAAGTAGGGAGAGTATGGGACGAGGGTCAGGATTGGATAGATCGAGCCGAGGATATTTTGGTCGAGAAAGAGATGGCGTAGATCAAAACCGTAGCTCAATGAAGTTGATTATACCACCCTTTCAAAGTAAGAGTGATCCCGAGGCGTACATTCAATGGGAAAGAAAGATTGAACACGTATTCGATTGTGATTACTATTCTGAAAAGAAGAAAGTGAAGCTCGACGTCGAAGCGTTCGGTGACTATGCAATTAGTTGGTGGGACCAATTTTTCTTAACTAGGCGGCGTTGTGGCGAACCACCAATTGATGATTGGGAGTCCATGAAGACAGTTATGAGAAAGAGGTTCGTTCATGCCCATTATTATAGGGAATTGAAGATGCAAGGCTTGAGGCAAGTTACTAAGTCAGAAGAACGGAGTTCGCCGAGGTGGGAATTGCAGAGGAGTTCTCCAGCGAGCAGAGTGAGAGAATTGTTGCAAAAGCCTAAAAGAGAGAAATTTAAAGCCAAGCATCAATTCAAGACTGAGAGAGGAGACTGTAAGAACGATCCATTCGTGAACTTGTGGTCAAACATTGAGGATGAATCTACAAAGGAGAAAAGGAGTATTTACATGGCACCACCTCAAAGGAATGATAAAATTGAAATTTCCATGGAGGAACACGTTGTAGACATCGTGGAAAATATTGGTGCAAAAATTGAAAGGATGCAAGATGAGATTGTTGAGTTGCAGCCCGAGGAGGATAAAAAGTGCAAAACCGCTCCAGTACTTGAAGAAGAAAAGGAAGGTTCGGATTCGAGGGCGAATCCTTTTGAAGAGGTGGAGAATGATACGATCCAGCCATGCATCGAAGTTAAGGAGGATGATACAATCCAGCCATGTAACCAACTTAATGTCGATCTAACTCGAGCACAAACATCCGTTATTGAAGTTAATGAAGATTGTGATGCAATGCATGAAGACGAAGGCGGTTCTATTAATGCTATTAGCAATAATTTGGTGGAAAACTTGAGTTTATCAACTTTGTAGTATTCTAGACCACATGAGCTGCAACTGTTTGAAGATGATCGTTAAAGATGGTTTCTATATGCTCATTTTTATATATGTCCGGATTCGAGGACGAATCCTTTTAAAGAGGGGGAGTATGATACGATCCACACAAGCTCAAAGATGAAGAATTGGAAGAAGCACAAGCGTACGAGCTTGGAGAGGCTATTCGAGTTATCCTTGGAGAATAAAGGTTTGAATGAGACTGTTGAAGACTTAATGGTTTGGAATTGGAAGAAAAGAAAAGGAAATTCGTTGGACAAGTCGAATTTCATGCATCCCGAAAGTCCCGTATGATTCTGGCAGAGTTTACGATTCAACTTATAACTCTCTCATATGACGTCGAAATAAGGTGATTCAAATTGTTGAGAAAACCTAACTGAAAGTTCTACAACTTTCATGGTTTGAGCGGAGAGAGATTCAAAGCGGAACAATATCGAAATCGAGCTTGAATTTCCTGCTTGTGCACAGCCAAATGACTACGCGAGTTTACAAGGGTGATGGGGAAGTCGTCTTGAAGATCAAGTTATCTAATTTATTTACGCATTTTTTAATATTTGGATTTAATATATTTATATTATTTTAGAGTTCTTTATGGTTAGGATTTGCTTATTTATAAGTTTCCTTATTATAGATTAGGTAGAGTCCTTTTCCTTGTGAAAAAAATGAGTCTTTTTAGCACTTATAGATAGGTTGTCAATTTGGCTTATTTTAATGGACGGATTTTTAATGAATACTTGAGTATTTCGAGAGTTAATTCTCGTTCGTTGTTCTACAGCAAATTTCGGGATTTTGCAAGTGGATTCTTGTAATTTTCTTAGCGACGGGGTTCGTATCAACACGTCATAACAAGTAATCTGTCTCAACAGATCGAGTAGATTTTGATAGGCATATAAATTCAACAAGGTTATTTATCGGGAACTTAGATTGATTTTCCCGAAGGGATTTCCTAATAATTTTTCATGTCATGCATATCTCATCATTGTGGAATTGAAGATATAAAGTTATAAAAGTGATATAATCTCACTATATGGTCTTGGAAGTTATAAAGGTGTAAAACTTTCACTCTATAATCTTATTTTCTTTCACTAAATTTTGTGATTTTTCTTTTTCCATTTCTGTACTCGTGGAGCAGTCGATCCCCTTTATCCACCTGCAGAAGAAGTTCCGTTGGATTTTTCTCTTCTACAATTTTCATCGGTTCCAGATATACTCATATTACCTTCAAGACTTGGCTAATAACTTCGTAAAGGTTAATAAATTAAACAGGATTATTGTAATTAAACATTAATTCTGCATTCTCGATTTTTACTCGATCAGGTGCTCCCTCTTGGAGAAGAACAAGACAAGTGCCTTTGCATAAATCCGGGAAGACTTGCCAGAGGTGAATTAAGGACGGGGTTTCTTCGTAGGGATTAACTATTGTACTGACAACTGTTCTGTAAAATATATCTGCAGTTTAGTCAGGCTGCCAAATTTTTTAATATTAATAACATTAAATGATGATAATTTTTATATGGAAAAAATAAATCAAAATACTTTAGAGCACCTACATTACAAGCCTCTAATGAAACGAGCAACAAACAATTAAAAGCAGTACATGAAAGAAACGATGGAGCTCGAGACAAGACGACGATGAAACAACTATTTCGGACGATAATAACCCAAAACAGAGTACACAGTCTGAATTGCAGCAAGGGTGAAAAGGAGAACTCCAGCAATGACAGAGACAACAGCCCACGGACTTTTAAAGTAAGTCCGGGCAAGATCCGCCCCCCACTCGTGCAGTCTCTTCCGGAACCGGCTCCTCAGCTTTCTACCCACCTGCCTGTATATAATGTCCAATCCGCTCTCCGGGTCCACCACAATGTCCGTATGGAGCAACTCGAATAACTTAATAACGTCTTTATCACTGCCGAGGCCGTTGCGGATGATCCCACACGAGCGTAGGAGGCTAACGTCTTTCGGGTCCCTAAGAAGGTTGTCCAAGAAAAACACATACGAGGTGACCTCACTCCCAGCGCCTATGTGGAACCGCTCGAAGGCTATCATGTTCAAAAGCTCGAGTTTTGTTTCGACATCTATGAAGAGTATCGGAAGTCTAAGGGTGTTTCCCTCGAACGAGATATCCCTGAGGCTCGTAGTTCTACTCCTCTTGAATCTAATTCCTGCTTCACTAAGTTCCGAGGCCGAGGGAATCTCGTCTACTTCTTCACCTCCTTGATCATGTGCATGGCGGGTTCTCATCATCCGATATCTGCGCGGTTTATGAAGAAGGCTCTTTCGGCACACATCTAGTAAGTGCAAGCATTTCCCCATACCCACACTGCTTTGACCGGGGTGAAAGAACCTGATTATGAGCCTATTCATCAGATCTTCTTCATCATGCGGCTGAACTACAAAAACACACACTATCATCATTCATCATTTTTTTATGGAGAGAGCACTTAATTAAAAAAGGGACATCCAACTTTCTTCTCTTGCAATTAAATCCATCTCATTCAAACTTATTTGCAAATAAGAAAAACTCTTTTAAATACACCAAAATTACCCCCAACTCCTTGAAACCCTAGTTCAACTCCAACTTCATGATTTACACTCCAATTTACCCAATTTCACCAATTAACCAATTTTGATCCTTATTCCAATTTTGACCCCAATTTTGACCTCCACCGTCGGTCAGCCGCTGTTGACCGCCGGTCTCTAGCGTTGACTTTATTTTTTTATGTATTATTGGTTTTGAAAAAAAAATCAGGTCTGCCGTCGTTGAACGGCTGTCTCTGGCATTGACCATTTTTTTTTTGGAAAATCTTTTTTTTCCTAAATAAAATATTTTCATTAATTGTATTGTCTTGGCCTGCAATATTGCTGTCTCGGAGACAGTAATTTAACTGTCCGAGACAACAATTTTACTGTATTAATTAATTTTATCGTCTTGGACTGCAATTTTGCTGCCTCCGACTGTAATATTACTGTTTGGGACAGTAAAATTAGTAACATTACTGTTTGGGACAGTAATATTAGTAACATTATTGTTTTGGCATTCAATATTACCGTCTCAGACAATAATGTTGTTAACACAGTAATTTAGATAGAAAAATTAAAAAAAATAAATAAATAAAAAGTCAACGTCGGAGACTGGCTGTCAACAACGGTTGACCGCCCGGAAAAAGAATTTCAAAAAAATAAGTGAAAGCCGGAATCTGGTCAGAAAAAAAAAATTCAGAAAAAAAATTATTTTGTAAAAAAAATATTGTTTCAAAAATTATGAATTTGGGGGATAATGTAATATATTTGTTCAAATGTGGGGTCAATGGGCTATATTGATGAAGTTAGAGTATAATCGATGGAATTGATGAAAATTATATTATGAGAGGCATTTTAGACAAAAGATGGGGATGTATTTATTAGCGAGACTGTTTTTTGTCTGAACATATGTGCATTTAAGTCCCTTGTCATGGACCTATTTGTCATTTGCACAATATTAGTGTAATTTTTTTCTTAAAGCACTCAACTCCCTAACTCGGGAGGTTTTCGGGTGTAGCTGAAAAAAAATTTCATTGTACGGAAACTTTTGCTAATATTGATAACATTAGATTTATTTTAACATTTAGAGTAAACACGGGGTTTTGAATACAATTAGGGTTTTTATGCATAAGTTCTCGACTAACCATTTTTATTATTCTAAGTTCAGGGGTTATATCTCTTTCGCCACCATCCATTTAATATGTATTATAAATAAATGCAAAATTAATGTATATGACAAAATTTTCATCTCTTTTTCCACCGCCGGTGTCTGGCGTTGACTTTTTAATTCTTTTTTTCCCCTAAAATTTTTATCCGTTCTTTTGACGCCCGGCGCTGAATGTTGACCGTAGTTGTAATGTCATTAACAGTAATTATACTGTCGCTGACTGTAATTGTACCGTCGTTGACAGTACAAATGCTGTCAACCACAACAATATTTTTTTTGGTTTGATTTGTTGAGAAGTCAACGTAATTATATTACCGTCGTTCACGGTAAAATTACTGGAAGCACAATAATATACTGTCAACCATATTAGTATTATTATTTTTTTTTTTGCCTTTTTGTTTTGTTTGATTTGGTGACCGATTAACGTAATAATATTACTGTCTACTATTGTAATATTAGTGTAAACACAATAATATTATTTTGATTCACGGATATTACTATCAACCACATCAATATTAATTCTTTTGTCTTTTTATTATGTTTGACTTTGTTGGACGGTCAACATATTAATATTATTCTATTACACAACAATAGTGATTTTTATTGTGTTAATATTATTGTGCTAGAGAGTAATATAACAATATTACTGTGTTAAACTGTAGTATAGTTAATATTACTGTGTTAAACAATAATATAATATAACTGTCAACCACATCAATATTAGTGTTCAAATAGGGCAAAAAGATGTTAAAAAAAATTTCAAAAAAAAAAAGAAGAAAGTCAACGCCGGCCAGCGGCGGCAGAAAGAAGAAAAGAAAAAGAAAAATAATTCGAAAAAGTCATCGCCGGAGACTGGCGGAAAAAACAGGAAAAATAAAAAGTCAACGTCGGAGACCGGCGGTCAACGACGGCGACAGGCGAAATTGTACTCAAAATTGAGTTTTGGGTCAAAATTAAATAATTTATGAAATTTGGGGTCAAATTGAGGTTAAATTGAATTAACGGATGAAATTGGAGCATATTAACATGTGAGGGGGTATTTTTGTTATTTACACACATCTGGACAATGTTTCGATTATTTTATAAAATAGTTTTTTGTCTGGAACCCTGATGAATAAGTATCCTATGACGGGCTTATTTTTAAGGGTTAATGACAAAGAGGCCAATGATAAGGGCACTTATTTAAAAAGGGACATCCAACTTTTTTGGCTTTCAAATATTTCCAGCTCATTCAAACTTATTTGCAAATAAGGAAAACACTTTTATATATACCAAAATTACCCCAAATTCATTGAAAGCCAATTCAACTCCAATTTCATGATTGACCTTTTTTTTTTGAATTTTTTATACGGTAGGTCAACCGGCGTTGACCGCCGGGTCCCCGGCATGGACTTTTTTTTCCTTAAAAAAAGTTATTTTAATTAATACTACTGTGTTGACTGCTAAATTATTGTCTCCAACAGTAATTTAACTGTCGGAGACAGTAATTTAACTGTTAATTGACTTTTTTTTTTGTTGAAATTTTGTTTTTTCTTATAATTTAAAAAAAAAATTAATATTACTGTCTTGGCTGCTAAATTACTGTCTCCAACAGCAATTTAATTGTCTGAGACAGTAATAGTACTGTATGAGACAGTAATTTTACTGTATTAGTTAATTTTATCATCTTGGCCAACAATTTTGTTGTGTTCGACCGTAATATTACTGTATTCGACCGTAATATTACTGTATAATGCAATAATATTACTGTTTGGGACAGTAATAATATTACTGTTCGGGAAAGTAATATTCATAATATTACTGTCCCAAACAGTTATTACTGTTTGAGATAGTAACTTAGCAGTCAAGACAATAATATTAAATAAAATAATTTTTTTAAGAAAAAAAAATTACAAAAAAAAGAAAATTCAGAAAAAAAAAAGTCATCGTCGGAGAACCGCCCGGTCAACGCCGGAATCTGGCTGGAAAAAAAATATTTTTTCAATAAATTATTAAAATGGGGGTTAATGTGATATATTTGTTTAATTCCGGAGTCAATGCGTAATATTGAGGAAGTTATAGTATAATGGATGGAATTAATAAAAAATATATTATTATGGAGGATATTTTAGACTAAAGACATGAGGATGAGTTTATTTGAAAGACTGTTTCTTATGTGGACCAATGTGCATTTAAGTCTCTTGTCATGTCCTTCTTTGCCATTTGTCCTATTTTTAATGGACCCGGTAGAATTAAGCCTTGTCATAAAAAAGAATATTAAAGTATAAATTTATCAAAGTGGAAGAAAGAGAAAACAAACCACGACCTTGGAAATTCTTTTCTCAAGTCGGAGTAGCTTGACTAAAACCAAAAGGGGCACCTGATTTTCGAGCAACAACATGTCACACCTGAGAACTGGCAACACATAGAGCAACCCGTGGCTACTAAAAACGGGATCGTTGGGAGCATAGCCTCCGGCAAGTACAGAAGTGCCCATTCGAAGCACTTCAAGAACGAAACACCCGTCGAGAATCATCAACCTCAAGAAGTCGGACGTGTTGTTCAACCACTTCGGATCCAACTCATCGTACGCGTCTCTCAAATCTTGCACCACATCATCGAGTGCTTCTAAATAGGCTTCTATTGGGACCGACGATCTCTTGATGAAATGAAGGAGAGCCCTCTCCTTGTGATCCTCCATTGGCTTGAGGTGGGGCCCGCCGTGATGATAAGGGCCGATGGATACTATTTGAGGCTTGTATGACTTGCTGTCTAGATCGATCACGCGAGGTGGTAGCTTGTAGATCGATCGTTTCATCCATTGCTCGACTTCTTGGGAAAAATCAGACATGTTTTCGAGTTTGTCGTTTATTGCAATAATCCAATTATGATCCCCCATTCTCATAACTAGTTTTTTTTCTTCTTTCTAGGTGATCTATTTGATTCGTGGAATGGTGGTAATGTATGTGTGCATGCTTGATTTATTTCTTTAGTGGCGAGATATAAGTAATAAGATGTCTAATAGGAAGACTTTAATAAAGCTTTAACTTGTGGAGAATGGAGGAATTTATACTTTGCTTACTTATTGAACCAAATGTTCTAAGACAACATCTTTGTCTTTTGTCTTTTAGTAGATTTTATGAGTCTCAGTTCCTTTAATCATACATAAGATGAAGAAATCTCCTTTTATTATTTTTGAATGAGTTTGTATATTCTTCTAAGACATTCTATAATCTATAATCTATAATCCATAATCTATCTATAAATATCTATAAAAGAAGGAATCCTATGGTGGTTTCTTCCATTTTTTGAAGAGACAAAAATATCATTTGGTTATGTCGTCAAACTTTAATTTGAGGAACAATTGAGTAATATAAACTGATTTTTAATTATTATAATCTAATATTAACTTATGACATTAAATAATTATATTATTAACTACTGGCAAATATATAGTATGGAGAAGCTTAAACTAATAAGGTCATTTTATGTAACAAAAAATCTAGATGCACGTAGACTAGCATTAACAAATATATAGTATGGAGAAGCTTAAACTAATAAGGTCATTTTATGTAACAAAAAATCTAGATGCACGTAGACTAGCATTAACGAAAAAAATAAATAATACCAACATGACTTTTTAAAATTAGTATTAATTATCTTAACATATATTGTTATCTGAAATATAATTAAACAAAATCTTCATTTAATTAGTTGGTATCAAGTTTCTACAGTTGAAGAATTTTTATTAATCTAAGAATTTTGAGTATCTATATTTACTAATAAAAATATTGTTTATAAAATGCATTATTTTATCTATACCAGTCAGTAATTACATAATATGTAAAATTAGAAGTACGTATAATATAAATAACATATGTTTTTTCTAATCTATTTCATGTTCTAGACATATAAAAAATAAGGTTACACCATGATCCACCACGGCACCACCACCTACGATCATAAAAAATGTGGAGAATCAGACTTGAACCACCGGAGGCTACATAGCATCTTACATCGATTTTTCAAGAGATAGCTCTTCGTATTTTGGGGTTTCAATAATGGCTAGCAATGCCGATATACACGATGACGGGAATCAATTTTATAATTATTAGGACAAATTACGAGAAACCCCGTGAGGTAAAGTCTAATTACAAAAATCCCCCTCATGTTTGCGTGATTACGAAAATCTCCCCTAGGTATGTTGTCGTCTTACATAGTCTCCCTACGGTGTTACTTTTTAACGGATTTTTTTTTATTCCATGGAATATTCCTCTGAAAATGTCATTTTGGTCATTGGGGTAATTGTAAGCATATTAATTACTTGTGGGGCAACATGTAATATATTTAAAAAAAACCGTAGTTACTTCTAATTTTAAAAGTGTATAATGTATTTCTTCATTTTATAATTATTACAAATAGAAAATATATATAAAAGAATTAAACATATCTTGTAACATTAATTTTTTATTTATTTATTTTGTTTATAATTTTATAATGGTTTGTTCAATAAAATCGATTTCATATATTTTGGAAAGCTATTCTTGTATTTCTTATTTAGGTTAAAAAAAATTCTAATAATATTTCAGTTTTTAACAAATTAAATGCAAAAATTATATATTAAATATAAATAAATTATATAAAAAAACAGTTTGCAACCCAATGCGATCTGAGGAGTCATCGCTTTTACTTCTTTCTTTCGAGGGATATTAGGGTAATTGTCAATATATTATTTTATTCGAGAAAAGTAACACCATAGGGGGCCTGTATAAGCAGGCAACATACTTTGGGGGGGGGGGGGGGGGGGGGGGGGGGGCCTTTCCTACTTAAGCAAATATGGGGGGCATTTTCTTAATTTGACCTTACCTTAAAAGGTTTCTCGTAATTTATCATTTATTGTTTTTCAAATCACATAAGGGTATAATGGACAAGATACATTTTTTTGTGAATTTAAACGGTCAAACACTGGTCGAAGGGGAATTTTTTTAATCATACAAACATGAGGGACACTTATGCTTTACCTCAGGGTTTTTTCATCTAATTGTATAAAAGAATACATGTAAAACTTGTTTATTAATTATTTGTTATTTTACATTTTTATGTTGGCTTCTATTTGTTATATATTATTTTCTTGGGTGACTGATTTGACTTCAAATTTTCTAGACCCCGTAAGTATTTGTTGACAACAACAAATCTAATAACACTTGAGGCTTGACTCAAGTTGTAAATTTGGAGGCTGGTTCTCGAGATTTCAACACTCACAATTTTAATCGATAAATTGATAAGTTTCTGTTATATTGTTTCATCAATTATTGAGGAGTTTTTGATTAATTTCGGAAGGTTTAGTTCTAGTTATTTATAAATAGGGTTCTTTACAAATAAGCCCATCAATGGGTACTTATTCATAAAGAGATCCAAACAATAAACTATTTTACAAAAAAGTTCACACATGGTCCAAAGGTTTGTAAAAGACTAAAAAAACCCAAAAGTAATATTATTGTGTTACCAGTAATATTACAATAATAGACAGTAATAATATTGATGTGGTTGACATCAATATTACTATAACAACAGTAATATTGCCGTCAACCACAGTAATATTATTGTGTTTACATTAATATTACAATAATAGACAGTAATATTATTACGTTATTCCGTGAATAACTCGAACAAAACAAAAAAACTCAAAAAAATAATAATATTAATGTGGTTGACAGTAATATTATTGTGTTTACAGTTATTTTACAGTCAACGACAGTAATATAATTACCTTGACTTGTCAATAAATCAAACAAAATTTAAAAAAAATAACAAAAAAATAATAATAATATTACGTTAATTTACTGTCAACGGCAGTACAATTACATAAATGTATTGTCAACGGCAGTACAATTACGTTAATGTACTGTCATTGACAGTATAATTACATTAATTACTGTCAGTGACAGTATAATTACCGTTAATGACAGCACAATTACGGTCAACGTATAGCGGCGGACGTAAAAAAAAAAAAAAAAAACTCTAAAAAAAATCAACGCTGGAATCCAGCGGCGGAAAAAACAGACCAGAAAAAAAAAAAAAAAAAAAGTCGAAAAGTCAACGCCGGAATCCGGCGGCAAAAAAATATTTTTTGAAAAAAAAGGTTTTCAAAAAAAAAATGTCAAAATTGGATTTTTGTGGTCAAAATTGATTAAAATGGGGTTACAATTAAGAATTTGGTGTAAAGGGTTGAGGGTAATTTTGTCATATACATAAATCTTTCATTTATTTATAAAAATATTAAATGGATGGACTTATTGGTGAAAGAGATATAGCCCATCAACCTAGAATAATAAAGATGTTTGGTCAGGGACTTATGCACAAAAAACCCTTATAAATAAGGAATTTTTATGTAAAATCAACTTCATGAAACACTACTTTTTAAAGCGTTCCAACGGTTTACCATAAGCATATACATATTTAGCACTATATATGATAAAACTCTATTTAGGGGTGGAAATTGGAATGGAGTTTCCGAATTCCGTCAATTCCGATAAAAAAATATCCGAATTTGAAACCATATTTTTCATTCCGATTTTCGAAGTTCCGATTTCCGATTTTTCTGAATTTATTTGGAACGGAATTGGAATGGTATATAAAATTACCGAAAATTCCGATTTCTGATCCGATTTTGGTTCCGAATATTTCTATGATTTTTTGAAATATATAATATAATTTTATGATATATTTTGTAATTACATAATATAACTGATGTTATATTTTAAATGTAAAATATAAATAACAAAGGGTCAAGTAGATTAAAACCTTCGAAAAGATTAATTGGTATATGAAACTTTATGTTGCATTTTTCCTTATAAGAAAATTTATATTTCAATTTGTTGTTCCTACATGTATTTTAATTTATTGCGCTTTGACGAACTTTCTTTTGGATTTTCCTGCAAAATTTCAAAAAGGACAGAAAAATATTCCGAAAATTTATTTCCATTATATCCAAATTTGGAACAAGAGATTATAAACTAATGTAATTTCCGAAATTTCTGAAATTCCGCCGATTCCGAGGCATTCCGATATCGGAATGAATTTTTGCATTCCAATGTTTTTGGAACGGAAATCGGAATCCATTTTTTACTTTCGAAAAAAAATGATTTTTTTTTTTTTCCGAAAAAACCATTTCCGATCTATTCCATCCGATTTCCATCACTAACTTTGTTTTAAGTTGTGTAATTCTTCAATTAAACTAAAAATAATGCAGTAAACACCTCTTTAATTTGTTCCATTTAAAGTCTTTTATTCAAAACCTGTACAGTATTTACAGTTTATTACAAAAATACCCTAACTCAATTTCTTAATCTTCTTCTTGAATCTCTGCCTGAACAAGTCAATCCACAAATGCAGAACCCACAATATGCTTACCCCAATTCCAACAACTATTACAACAATCCAAGAAATCCAACCCCACCTAGGAATAATCACACCACCATTACACACATCAGTGAAGAACAACCCCATCTTGTACACATAAACCGGTCCGAAAACCCCCCTCACCACACTATAATAACCGTAAAACCAAGGCGACAACAACTCGAACAAACCGGCCGCGTTTGCAGAATCGGCCTTCCGATATCTTGTTCTGACAAAAACTCGTAACCTCAGCAAGAACAAGTATTCCTAGGATCGCCACCGCGCCGTGATCGAACAGATACCGACATGTCATTAGCACGTATAGCGTGGCTAAGTGGTGCACGACGATAAGCGCGTCGCTCGGTACTAAGACCGTGTAGTGCAAGAGGTCGGCCAAGAAATATGCGATGCTGTATTCGAGTACTAGGTTATGGAAAGGCGCGTTTGGCGAAGCGAGATCGAGTTGGATTATATTACTGTGTTTTGAGGTTTCTAGAAAGAATGTCGAAGATATCGATAGGAC